CCCCCCCCCCATCCCTGTGTCTGAATAATGCATCTTATAGAAAAGAAGAGCACATGCACCCGGGCACAATGGGGTTAACTGAGGATAGGGATGAGATCATTGCTGGTTGCAGCTAGGAAGGGGGGTTTCTTGAGCCCCACTCTTTTTTTGCATACATTATTGTGCCACCCCTGGGTGCCATGTGTCCATCGGCCTGCAGAGCTGTGCAGTAGGCGGAAGAGGGGTCACTACTCACCAGAAGAGTCCCCAGTCCCCCAGCTGCTCTCAGTCCATCTTCACGTAGCTGTGATAGCCCCAGATTGCAGGGACTGCCACCTCCCTTCCTTCTCTCTCTGCAATCCAATGCTCACTTTCTACGCTAACCATTCTTTATATTGCAACAGCTGATGCTAAAAATAGATGGTGCCCGGGGGGGAGCCATGGCCCCTGAGAATCTAATTTGCAGCAGCCTGTGTCCCCTTTATTTCCTGTCTGCCCCCACAAGACAGCAATGAGATACATACTCAGAATAGTGTGATTTCTGCTGCAAACAGCCACTTACCGGGAGAATACAAAGCACTGAAGGAGAAGGTCCCCCCTCTGCAAGGCAATGGACTCTTCCACAAGCTGTGCCCTCAGTACGTCGCTCTTAAGGTGGTCTGAAGTTGGAACTTAAAGGCAAGTTTTTAGAGGGAAGCAGAAATGACCGGAGAGGAGGGGAGAGGAGATGAATTGTGAAGGGTGAGGAATCAGAAGGAGGGTATTTGATTGTGGACACAAGAGAGGAAAGGAGGGAGAGCTGAGGCGGACGTCCTTAATAACCACTCCTAGCCCAGGAATGGTTATCTGTCAGTAGTTGTATGTAGCTGGGTGTCAGCAGAAGCAGGACTGGGTGCTACCAGCAGGGTGCCCAGCCCAGCCACACGCAAGCCATTCCTCATGGGTCACAGTGTGACTCAGCTGCTCGCATGACTCTTCTATGACATCAGAAACAAAGTGACAATGGGGGACAGGTCACATAATGCACTGTGACATCCTGGGGCATAGAGGACTAATGATAGTGTGAAGATTGTAAGCTTCTGGGACAAGCATTCATAATAGAATTATATTTGTAAAAAACAACCAGTGAAATTCTTTCTTTCTTTCCATCCTTCCTTACTTCATCTCTTCCTTCATTCTATTTCTTTCTTTCTTTCTTTCTTTCTTTCTTTCTTTCCCTCCTTCCTTACTTCATCTCTTCCTTCATTCTATTTCTTTCTTTCTTTCTTTCTTTCTTTCTTTCTTTCCCTCCTTCCTTACTTCATCTCTTCCTTCATTCTCTTTCTTTCTTTCTTTCCCTCCTTCCTTACTTCATATCTTCCTTCATTCTCTTTCTTTCTTTCTTTCCTTCCCTCCTTCCTTCCTTACTTCATATCTTCCTTCATTCTCTTTCTTGCTTTCTTTCTTTCCCTCCTTCCTTACTTCATCTCTTCCTTCATTCTCTTTCTTGCTTTCTTTCTTTCCCTCCTTCCTTACTTCATATCTTCCTTCATTCCTTTCTTTCTTTCTTTCTCTTTCTTTCTTTCCCACCTTCCTTACTTCATCTCTTCCTTCATTTTCTTTCTTTCTTTCTTTCTTTCTTTCTTTCTTTCTTTCTTTCTTTCCCTCTCTCTATAATTTAATTCTTGCTCCCCCCCCAATTCTACCCTCTTCTCTTCTCTTCTTCCTTCCTTCTCTTTCATTCTTCCTTCCTCCCCCCTCTCTCTCTCTCTCTCTCTCTCTCTCTCTCTCTCTCTCTCTCTCTCTCTCTCTCCTTCCTTCCTCTAACATTGAGTCCTTCTTTTTCTTTTCCCAATTCTACCTTCTTTTCTCCTCTTCTTTCCTTCCTCTCCTCTTTTTTTCTTTTGTCCCATTGGGGAGATTTCCCTTCACTTCCTGTCTTGAGGCACAACACATCCGCAGTCAGAGGAGATCCAGACAAAATAAAAGGTGGTTTTCTCCTAAGCTGTCTATACAGTGAATGAATTTCGGACGGTGAAATTGGCTCAGTGGGTGGCCCTGTCGGCAGCCTTCTTCATGAGATCCTTCAATAAGGATATGGAAGGTTCCAGGTGGAAAATTCTCAGCTGAACCGTGACGGCAGCCAATCAGCGGCACGCATGCCACTGTCACAATACAATAGTGGGAGATCTGTCCATCCGTGCTGTTTAGTGTATCTGTTAGATTTCTTTCGTGCAGCTCGCAGATATGGCCAGCTTTAGATGTGTGTCCTCACTGGAAGATTTCCCCTCTATGCCTGACCCAGTCACAGTTCAAATTTCTAGGTTTTCCATCACTTGGGGGGCTCTCAGCAACCTGTGATGCTTCGGCCAGCATCCAGCATCACTGGTTGCCAGGAGCTAAGCGGGATGCTCTGGCTGGCGTCCTGCCCAGCTCCTGGCAACCAGTGATGTCGGTTAGCTGGGTGGGATGCTGGACTGAGCCAAAGCCTGTGATGCTGTGTCCGGCATCCTTCCCAGCTCACTGGCGTCATTGGTTGGCATGAGCTGAACGGGATGCTGTGTCCTGCATCCTGCCCAGCTCACTGACGTCATTGGTTGGCAGGAGCTGAACAGGATGCTGTGTCCGGCATCCTGCCCAGCTCACTGACGTCATTGGTTGGCAGGAGCTGAACGGGATGCTGTGTCCGGCATCCTGCCCAGCTCACTGACGTCATTGGTTGGCAGGAGCTGAACGGGATGCTGTGTCCGGCATCCTGCCCAGCTCACTGA